GAAGTAGTGTTAACTTGAAGCTTTTGCAGAAATGAGTTCTAACTCTAACGATGTCTGCCAAGCAGTATGGCGGACGAAAATTCAGCCCATTTTTCACCCGAAACGAGTGAGGATGTCTCGTAGACTGCGTCTTGGATTGAACGTCACATTAAAGCCAAACGGCTGCAAAACAATCGCAATCAGTCGTAGTCATCTGGTGTGAACGACCTACACATTTCTTTATTTTGCCCTTTCACGAGAAATGAAAGTACCACAATACTGGTATTTCGAGAGATTCATCTAAACTAATTTACTTTTAGAAGTGGGTTGGCCTGGTTGTCGCAACATGGTCGTGTTGTCAGGGCCACTGAGTAGAACGCACCTAGTCCGAAGTCGTCTACCATAGTAGTTGTCATGATTCCCAGCATCAGACATTCTCAAACGTTTCGCCGGCATTGTAGTCGGCATCATTATTGAGTGCTGCCATTCTCCGCAATCCCTCAATAAACGTTCTGCTGAAAACGGTTACAATATCACTCCTCTTTCTGTTCTGGCCTATCTATCTACTCTTTACTCTCTTATCCCACTGTCGCACACAAAAGGGAGCTCTGATCAAGGAGGCGGCAGTGTACGTTCTTCTAGGGCCTTGAGAAATAGCGCCTGAAGTGAAACGGACACTGGGACTGGAACCGAGTGAAATCAGTCAACTAGAAAGGTAAGGAACGGAACTACGGTACCATGAGTGGGATCCGGATTGTAGGCTTGAGTCAGATTAGCCGATCGAAAGAGAGAGGGTCGGGGTGAATAGCGGGTGTGATGAGGCGACACCAGATTTGCCACAAAAGGGCACACATTTTGACGAGTGGATGTAAACAAGTGAGAAGCTGTGATAGGGCGGCAGTGGGATGAGAGGGTAAAGAGTCAGAAGATGGGCCAGGACAGAAAGAGGAGTGATAGTACAACCATTTTCGGCAGAACGTTTGTCGAGGGATTGACTTCACTTGTCTCTGACGAGTTCGCAGCTCGGTGCGAAGAATGAAAAAACTGACTGATGATGCCGATTACGATACCAGCTAAACGTTTGAGAATGTACCAAGTCCACAGTCTGCTGCTGGGAATCATGACAACTACTATGGCGGACGACTTCGGACTAGGTGCGTTCTCTATAGTCTTCCTGACAACAAGACCAAGTTGCGACAACAAGGTCAACCCACTTCCATAAATCTAAAGGAGACTGCGACCATACCAGGTGCCACAACATCTTGGTCTTTATATCTTTAATTTACTTTCATTAACTGCAACCTTCAATGTAAGCCAGGAGAGTGGTAATATTGAAGCGACCTAAAGTGACTCAACTTTGCACAAGAAAATCTACTTATAATTTCACTGCTTAATCTCATACAGTATAGTACTCGCAGATACAAATGCGTCATATTCACATGGATTGACCCATATGTGGATATATGATAATTATGGTTCGAAGCGATCAGTAGATAGTCAGCCTAAATTAATTAAGTTGACGAAATAGCTAGTAACTGAAGAACTCACAGTGAAATGAGTAAAAGGTATCATGATACTCTTGAAGTTCCCTCAGATTGGCTTTTGGAAAGGCTTACTTATCTGGGTTGTACGGCAGCTTCTTCACCGCCTGGATATCATCACTTTTTTGACGGGACTTAAGACCAGGTTGTCGGCATTAAGTGGTAATGGCGACGACATTAAAGGAAAATGAAGCAGACCATAAACCTGTATTTGATATGTTAACCGGCTGCGCTACTATTTTTCGAATGACTAAATCTAAGGTTTGTGTGTGTACAAATCAATTTTTTATTTCAAAGGTTCAGTTGGTTGGAAGAAATTCGTAAATTGCTCCCACATAAAAGTGAAGAAGGATTGCATTGCTGTCGAGATTGTCGGAATGTGCGAAGGAATCCTCCATTCACCATTCTGCCACTCCAACGAACCTGAGACGAGCTTTAGTTTGTCCCGTCCTGACAGACTGCGCACATGCTATACACGAAATATTATAACGCAGAGCATGCATCAACATTGCACGCTCTTACCACAGAGGACTTAAGCCAGGAAAAGGATGCAACAATTAAGCGTGCATAGGAATCGAAGGCCTAATGGTTGAGCATTCCACATCGAAGTGAATAGAATGCTTTTCAATGTCATCGAATTAGTCTGAAGAAGAGCTAAGTTTCGAAGAATCACTTAATCCAGTGATTCCAAAACTGTGCGCCGTAGCGCCCCGGGGAGCCGCGACCTCTTTACTGGGGCGCCACGAAATATTGCAAAAGCTTCAATTTGAAAAAATCTACAGTGATTTGCAGACTCATCCATCACATTAATTATTAAATATTAATTTAATGTTAATAAAGTATTAAAAAATAATAAAGATACTTACTTACGAATAGTCATACTTAGGGTAGGGCGCCACGGAAAAATTTTAATTGAAAAAGGGCGCCGAGACTAGGAAATGTTTTGAAACCACTGACTTAATCACTTAGTTTGACTCAAATTTTCATCCCAAAGGAAAAGTTGTTTGGAAGGGATTCGTGAGCTTGCCTGACCAAAACCAAAATTAAGATTATTTTGGAGTAAAGAATGCTGGATTGTGCGAAGTTCTCGGCTCACCGTCTTGCCACATGTTAAGCTTTAGTCAGCCATGTGACAAGCGTTGTTACAGCGATAAACCCCACTTTACGAAAAACTGTACAAATACACAACAAATTTTCTTTTAATTGAGTATGTATTAATGTGAGTGTTCGTAAAATATGGATTCATGGTCTGACGATGCGTGTCACTTGAGATACGAAGGCTCAGCATGGCTGGCAGAACGGCGGGCCATCCTCCGGTGAATTGGACGACAGGACTTTTCAACATAAAAGCGACCCCATGAACACATAATTTTGCAACAACTTGATCTGGATAATCGGTCAAATTCCTCTCTAGTAATGGATATAACTGAAGAAAGTTTCACAATTCCCTTAGAAATTGCTTTCATTCTCCACATCCTTAGAAGTTGGCCAACCTTATTTGAGAGAACACACAAAAGCAAAGTCGAAACTAGTCTTTTTTCATCTCTTCTCAAATATTTCCCATACAAAAGAGCAGATGTCATTTTTAATCAAGCTTGGAGGATAAGCTTTCGTAGTAGTATGGTGTAATTGGTGACGTGTTGAGGTTATACGCTGCATTCTCATGTTTCTAGTCCCACCGGGAATATTGATGAGACCAGTTCGAGAGAATTCGAAACTTAAGTCCACTTTAGCCTGGATCAGAATACCATTTTAAAAGCACGGCTATGTGGAATTCAATGGAAACGTAAGGTCTACTCATATGATTGTGGGAAAAATCAACTATCAATCATTTATCACCTTAACGAAACATGGTGTATACATCTCATATTCCAAAGTAACACTAGTTTTAGCTTAGTTAGCTCATTCTGCCAATGATACCCATCAGCTAGTGATTTACTTTGAATAATAATTTGCTTTAAAATACTAATTCGGTTGAGTTAAGTAGTTTTGCTTAACTTCTTGTCGATATTCCTAGTCACTTGGTATGCTGCGTCTAAACCTAAAATTAGAGAGGCCATTGAAATCAACCAACCGAAACAAATCAATTGATCGACATTGAATGTAGCAAATACCGGCAAGAAGTTAAGTAAAAACTACTTGTGCTTAACTAATGGATTCAAGGATAGAAAAGGTGTTGATCTGCCTTTAATAAGGATGCGACTTAACTAGCCTTGTCTTGTCTTGCTTCTAGCCACGGTAACTTTTCTGTGCATTTTAGCCCACTCCTTCTATCTCAAGTGAAGATAAAAAGCTCATCAACATAGCCAGACATGTGTCCGACTTTGCGCAATCGGAGTAATGGATAAAATATATTTTTATATATAAATATATAAAGAGAGTGATGGCGGTCATCAAATCATGATGGCCGAGAAAAGACGTCACTTTTTCGGTTTTACTTACTTTGATCCATCACTTCTGGTTTCGTACATATACGAACACATGAAGGCATATAAACACACAGACAGGCCCACTCATAAGCTTCGAGTTTGGTAGATTATTTGAACTTACTAAATCACTTTATATCTCATCAAAGAGCTCAGCTATACAGCATTTTAGAGGTAAATCGGTAAGCTTTCTTGATCCGCTAGCTTGCATATGGTTGTAAGGATGATACCTTAGTCGTCATACGACGGATAAAAGCCTAGCACGTTTTTACCGGAATCTAACGAGATTACCCCGGAAACAGCGTCAACAAGAATGCTCCAGTAAGGTCAATCGACAGCTGGTCAGGAGGAATCCACTATCGTCGTCCTGTGAGATCGACCTTTGAATCTCTGCATCATACGCAAACCTTTACTCAAAAAGGAAGTGAACTTACCAAT